TGAGAACAACCAAATGAATGTGATTATGTCTATATTGGCAATGGAAAAATGTCAGAAAATAGAGGCATTTGATATGCAGGTCTTTCATGCAAGCCCTCAGGTCTCCCTGACTATAGAAAACATAGAATAAATAGTATGTACTTTGGCTATCATCATATGAGTTAAACTGCGTGTATGTCTCACTCACTCAAATCTTCAATAAAATCAAGAGTGAATATGGAAGAAAAAGAAAACAAAGTAAAAATTTAAAATCACATGTAAATGCTAATTGTCAAGAACATTCTTGCCATTTTTGGAAAGCAGTGTCTCATTGAAGCAACAGGAAATTGCCATGAAATGACTTGTTTTGCTTTCACCTGATGTTATCAAAAGAAATAGACTATTCAATCAGTCCAAACAGCGATAGTTAACATCACACTGCAAAAGCTGTTCAGGCAATGAAATGAAGGCAATAAAAGAGAACAAAGAATGCCTAAGCAATTTGGTGCTTTAAACAATGATAAGCTCTATGTCAGGTAAAAAGCAATGTTGGAGGAACCGGATTACTTTTGTCTTGAATTATTTTAGGCTTAAATACATCTGATTGCCTAAGAGTACAAAGGATGGATTGCTTGTCCATAATGTATTATGTAATGAGTCACTGCATTAATTCCACTGGGAATTTTAATTTGCAGATTCATTTTTATCTGTTCAGAAAATGACAACTACTTCTTCGGAAGTATAATTAATAAACTTTCTAAACCTAGTATTATTCTAAGTTTCTTATTTATCTTCCACTTCATTTTTACTTTTGAAAAAAAATATTTGGGGAGTGATGTGATCTTAAATGTCAGCTTTTAGTACTTGTCACATTCTGAAATAGGATGATGAAAGATACATTACAATGAAGCACACAGTATATGGGCTTTAGCTTCCAGCAATGCAAAGACCAAATAATCTATTGCACCACATTTCAATTGTTTGTTACTGAACTTATAGAAGTAATGCAATCCTTCAGGAAACCCAAAAACTGGAACTATAAGCTGAAGCAAGAGCAATAAACCATAAACTCACATGAAAGGAGTCCTGAGGATAAAATCCTACATTAACATTTCACATAAGTGGTACCTACTAACCAGCTTACTCAGGTAAGGTAATAAGCTGGTTAGTAGGTACCATGGAATAAGGACTGAAGACATGCAAAATTAGTAATATTCTTTTCAAAAATGAACAAAAATGTTCATTGAAGAAAAGTGTCCTGAATTTAGGTTTCAAGATATTCCAGAGTTTAGGATAAGCTCAAAACCCAAGACCAAAAAATACACACACAAGGAAGCAAACCACCATGAGTGAAAGCCAGCAAAAACAATATTCTTTGAGTTACCTGTACTGTAGACTGGATGTTGTCCAATTACCCATCTTGCCATTTTTTTTACTATGTTTGTTATAGCTATTTAAATACCTGTATCTGTTTATTCCTAACAACTGGGTCATTTATGCATCTGCTTCTATTGTCTGTTGTTGTTTCCTTAGTCCTGTTTCATATTTCTTTGATTGAATGTCAAAAGTTGTATGGAAAAGATTATGGAGCATCTAGATTAAGTATGACCCCCAAAATGATTTACCTCTTGGTAACAAATAGAGCAGTGCTTTGTGTTTCTCAACCCCAGACAACCTCTCATCCATCCCAACTACCTGCACACAAAATGCCAGCTTATAGAGCTTACTGAGCTTAAAGTAATGCAATCCTCCAGAAAAGGCATTTGGCAATGTTTGGGGACATTTTTAGACATAACAATAGAGAGGTCCTAAAACTGTGTTTACAAAATTATGAAAGTAAGAAAACCCTGACATGGTTGAGTTCATCCTGCCTCTAGCTTCAGGGGTGGCTGTCTTCACACATTTTTGGGCATGAGCAAAGTTAACTTACAGAGAAATTTAGTTTATAGTGTAAATGATCATAGCCCTTCCCAAAAACTAGACTGCCCTTGAAAAACAAATGAAAGTCCACCAGGTTAGGAAGATGAGAGGGGCCTGAATTCTGCTAAGATGCAAACATAGTTAAATAATTACCAGCCATTATTTCAGAGGTCATAAGATTTGCAACTTCTCCATTTCTCCTGAAGATATCATGACTATTGTAGAACCTAAGATTGGCCTTTCGAGATGTCTTTTCAGGATTTTGCATTTCTGAAAACCAGATGGCCTCACCAGTGTTTGCCAACCAGTCCTGAGTCCTGTGGCCACTACCCAGGAACCAATTTGAGCAAGAGAACAGCTTTAGCTCCCTATGACTTCATCTCTGACCCAACCAATCAGCACTCCCCACTCCCTGGGCCCCTAACCACCAAACTATCTTTCAAAAAAAAACCCTAACCTCTGAGCCTTCGAGGAGTTTCATCTGAGTTACAACTGTCTCCCACGTAGTGTGGCTGGCCTCATTATTACATTCTTTCTTTACTGCAATGCTATGGTGTCCATGAATTGACTTTGTCCAGTGGGCAGGAAGAACCAATAAGGTGGTTACAGTGTTACTAGCACCTAAAGGGTGGAGGTCAAGAATTCTCCTAAACATCCTACAGTGCACAGAAGAACAGTCTCCACAGCAAATAATTATTTGGTCTAAAATGTTAGTAGTGCTGCTATTGAGGAACCCAGAAATAAATGAGGGCTGATTACCCAGTCAGTGATTGAGCTCATCTGAGGCTGAGTTGCATTTATCTCTTGCTTACCCTCCCCTTCCCTAGAGGTCCAAACACATTGGCATCTACACTCCTACACACATATATGTACATGTATGCACATATACATGGTTACTTAAAAATTACCTGATCAAAATTACCTGATAAAAGATACTTTATATCTTTTAAGGCTTATTTTCACCTCCTCTAAGAAGCACCACCTGTCACTCCCTCAACCTCTGTAATCAATCACCACTCTAAGGCCTGATTAGGAGTCACTATAATGTTTAAGACAGAAACTTGGTAGTGCTGTAGTCTAACAAATATTGATGGATCTAAAATGGTGTCAAAGTTTGTTTGATATATGTATATATTTTATTAAAGTTTTTGACTTGTTATTTATATTAATTTTTTAAAGCTGACTCTCAATAGATGGTGGTGAGGGAGGACATCCCAACCCACAAGCAGGTTGTGAATGGTTTAGCACCAAGTTCCTCAAATTTTTAAATTTAAGCTGTTCATTTGCATCTTTCATTCAATGCTTGTGACAGGTCATCAGCACTTTTATGACATTACCTGAGACTCCCATCCGCTACACATTTTTAAAATTAATTATCCCAGTTTAAAAAATAACTTCCCTAATTCCCCATTCAAAATTTTAATATAAAATATATAAGATTGATATGCACATATATGCATACACATACATGTATATGCCCTAAAAATCACTGAGTACCTTTTACATTTAGATTATAATTTAACTGATTTAAAAAATATTATCAAAGCAATCATAATATTAAAGCAATACATGATCACTTTAATTTTTTTAAATACATAAGTAGAAGGCAGAACATTCCTTATTAAACATAGCTTTAGGAACAAATACTGTTAACGTTTCAATGGGTCTTCCTCTAGTATTTTAACTACATCTATTTTTCCAGATATGAATAAACAATGCAATATTATTCCACCTAAAATTATAACAAATATTTTAGTTAGAAACACTTTCAAACTGATTTATTTTAACTAAGATCATTCTCCCAGTATCCTTTTTCATGACTTAAATTGCGATTGGACTTCACCTCAAATTATGGTATTATTTCTTAAAAGGAGTATATATATATCTGGTACCAGCCAAAGTACACATTTGAATTCTTTCTGCTGACAGAATTTCAAAGGTTGATTAATTTACTTTAAGCTTTAGACTCTGGTACACTCTCTGGTTAACTAAAACAACACGATTTGACTAAAAATGAGCCTGTTGACTAAAAAAGAGGTGTTTTATTGATAAAAAGGGAAATAAGTGAGTAAGGAGGATGCAAAAACAGATGATGTAGACTTGGAGCTGCAACTGATGTATTACATACTCTTGAAAGACATGTTTGATACAGGTGAGGATTAGTTATCCATAAATGAAATAATGGATAACTAATTTGCCATTCTTTCCTAGTGGAGAAAGAATGCAGATGTAGTCACTTAAATCAATAAGTAGACCATTTTCAGGTTAAAAGCATCCATCTTTCTACAGAAGTCTTTAAAAATTGCTCTGAATTCTCTCAAATGGGCTTCTTTGTCTTGGGTGCTACTCAAGAGATAAGAAGAGCTGTGAGGGCAGGGGATCCTAGTTCTGCCCGCTTCATTCAGGACTGCCGTAATGCTAGATTATTAAAGAGAGGTCATTTGTTCCTTGCTTTACTATTTGTAGAGACAATCATTAATATTCATCCAGGTGTGCAGCGTTCTAGGTATCTTACAGAACATGCAGTGTGTGCAAAATGTAAATCAAGAGTCTATGAATACTGATGACCCCATGGGGGGAATATTACCCTCCAATATGAATTCCAGTTTCAACAAGAAGAAAGCCAATCTCAAAATGTTTTGTAACTTTAAAAAACAAAACCAATGTGCAGAAATCACAGGCATTTCTACACACCATTAACAGACTAACAGAGAGCCAAATCATGAGCGAACTCCCATTCAATTCACAACTGCTACAAAGAGAATAAAATACCTAGAAATACAACCAACAAAGGATGTCAAGGACCTCTTCAAGGAGAACTACAAACCACTGCTCAAGGAAATAAGAGAGGACACAAACAAATGTAGAAATATTCCATGCTCATGGATAGGAAGAATCAATATCATGAAAATGGCCACACTGTCCAAAGTAATTTATAGATTCAATGCTATCCCCATCAAGCTACCAATGACCTTCTTCACAGAACTGGAAAAAAACACTTTAAACTTCATATGGAACCAAAAGACAGCCGGCATAGCCAAGTCAATCCTAAGCAAAAAGAACAAAGCCAGAGGCATCACACTACCTGATTTCAAGCCGCGCACCAGAGGAGATGAGGCTCCGCAATGGCACCTTCCTGACCCTGCTGCTCTTCTGCCTGTGCGCCTTCCTCTCGCTGTCCTGGTACTCGGCGCTCAGCTGCCAGAAAGGCGACGTCGTGGACGTTTACCAGCGGGAGTTCCTGGAATTGCAGGATCGGCTGCACACAGCTAAGCAGGAGAGCCTCAAGTGCTCCAAGGAGCTCAACCTGGTGCTGGATGAGATCAAGAGGGCCGTTTTGGAGAGGCAGGTGCTGCGAGAGGGAGAGGCAATCGCACCTGGGGCCGCCTAACAGAGGATTCCCCCATTGCAGCCGTGGAACGGCTCACACCAGTAGGTGCTACACCTGCCCACTGTCTTCCACCACCTACCACACCTGCTGGCCAAGGAGAATGGTCTGCAGCCCGCGGTGCGCGTGGGCCAGGGCCGCACCGGAGTGTAGGTGGTGACAGGCATCCTGAGCATGGGGCGCGAGGTGCCTCTCATACCTGTCTGACCCTCTGCACTGGCTCATCCCTGAGCTGAGCCCACAGTAGAAGGAGGACTCAGTCATTGTGGTGCTGATTGCTGAGACTGACCCCCAGGACACTTCAGCAGTGACAGAGAACATCAAGGCCTTGTTCCCCACCGGGATCCATTCCGGGCTCCTGGAGGTCATCTGATCCTCTTCCCACTTCTACCCTGACTTCTCCAGCTTCCGAGAGTCCTTTGGGGACCCCAAGGAGAGAGTCAGGTGGAGGACCAAACAGAACCTCCATTACTGCTTCCTCGTGATGTACGTGCAGTCCAAAGGCATCTATTACGTGCAGCTGGAGGACGACATTGTGGCCAGGCCCAATGACCTGAACACCATGAAGAACTTGGCACTGCAGCAGCCTTCAGAGGACTGGATGATCCTGGAGTTCTCCCAGCTGGGCTTCACTGGGAAGATGTTCAAGTCAGACCTGAGCTTGATTGTAGAGTTCATCCTCATGTTATACCGACACAAGTCCACCGACTGGCCCCTGGGCCATATTCTGTGGGTGAAAGTCTGCAGCCCCGAGAAGGATGCGAAGCCCTGTGACCGGCAGAAAGCCAACCTGCGGATCCGCTTCGAGTTGCCCCTATTCCAGCGCGTGGGTACTCACTCCTCACTGGCTGGCAAGATCCAGAAACTGAAGGACAAGGACTTTGGAAAGCGGGCACTGCGGAAGGAGCACGTGAGCTCACCAGCAGAGGTGGGCACAAGCCTGAAGACACACCAGCACTTCACCTGGGAGAAAGCCTACCTACGCGAGGACTTCTGGCCCTTCACCCTCGCCGCTGGGAACTTCATCCGCTTCCATTTCTTCCAGCCCTTGCGACTGGAGCAGTTTTTCTTCTGCAGTGGAAACATTGAGCAACCAGAGGACAAGTTCTTCAATACGCCTGTGGAGGTATTGCTCTTTGATAACCCTCAGTCGGATAAGGAGGCCCTGCAGAAGGGCCTCGCCGCCACCCTCCGGTACCCTCGGAGCCCCAACGGCTACCTCCAGATCGGCTCCTTCTACAAGGGAGTGGCAGAGGGAGAGGTGGGCCCAGCCTTCGGCCCTCTGGAAGCTCTGCGCCTCTCCATCCAGACGGACTCCCCTGTGTGGGTGATTCTGAGTGAGAGCTTCCTGAAAAAGGCCGATTAAGTCGAGGGCCTCTGAGGGTACACTGTGGTCAGCCCTGAAGCCCACGTTTCCGGGGTATTTCATCACTGCCGTCCCCAGAGGGCCAGATATGTTGCCCTGCCCGAAGGGTTCTGCCTGGTGCCGGGCTCGGGCCGGCCTGAGATCCGCCGCTGGCCCGGAGGCAGCAGGAGCTGGTGCTGTCCTGGGCCGTGGAGGAGGCAGGCGGCCCCCACACTGTGCCTGCAGCCCAGAACCATTCGCACCTGGCCTGCCCCAGCCAGGTCATTTTAGAAGAGCTTTTTCTTGGGTGCCCACAGTCTCTGGCCCAAACACTGGAATGCATATACTACTTTATGTGCTGTGTTTTTTATTCTTGGATACATTTGATTTTTTCACGTAAGTCCACATACACTTCTGTAAGAGTGTGACTTGTAATAAAGGATTTAAAAAAAAGTCTACAGTAATCAAAACAGCATGGTACTGGTACCAAAACAGAGACGTACACCAACGGAACAGAACAGAGGTCTCAGAGGCAACGCCACACATGTGCAACCATCTGATCTTTGACAAACTGGACAAAAACAGGCAACAGGGAAAGGATTCCCTGTTTAATAAATGGTATTGGGAAAGCTGGCTAGCCATGTGCAGAAAGCAGAAACTGGACCCATTCTGGACACCTTACACTAAAATTAAATCCAGACAGATTAAAGAGTAAAACACAAAACCTAACACCATAAAAACCCCAAAAGAAAACCTGGGCAAAACCATTCAGGGTGCAGGCATAGGCAAGGACTTGATGACTAAAACACCAAAAGCACTGGCAACAAAAGCCAAAATAGACAAATGGGATCTAATTAAACTCCAGAACTTCTGCACAGCAAAAGAAACAGTCATTAGAATGAACCAGCAACCAACAGAATGGGAAAATTTTTGCAATTTACTCATCTGACAAAGGGCTAATATTCAGAATCTACAAAGAACTAAAACAGATTTACAAGAAAAAAAAAAAAACCCCATCCAAAAGTGGGCAAATGATATGAATAGACACTTTACAAAAGAAGACATACATGAGGCCAACAAACATGAAAAAATTCTCATCATCACTGGTCATTAGAGAAATGCAAATCAAAACCACATTGAGATATCATCTCATGCCAGTTAGAATGGTGATCATTAATCTGGAGACAATAGATGCTGGAGAGGATGTGGAGAAATAGGAACACTATTCCACTGTTGGTGGGAGTGTAAATTAGTTCAACCATTGTGGAAGACAGTGTGGATCTTCCTCAAGGGCCTACATATAGAAATTCCATTTGACCCAGCAATCCCATTACTGGGTATATACCCAAAGGATTATAAATCATTCTATATAAGAACACATGCACACTTACATTCATTGCACCACTGATTACAATAGCAAAGACCTGGAACCAACCCAAATGCCCATCAATGATAGACTGGACAAGGAAAATGTGGTACATATATACCATGGAATACTATGCAGCCATAAAAAAGGATGAGTTCATGTCCTTTGTAGGGACATGGATGAATCTGGAAACCATCATTCTCAGCAAACTGACACAGGAACAGAAAATCAAACACCTCATGTTCTCACTCATAGGTGGGTGTTGAACAATGAGAACACATGGACATGGGGGGGGCATCACACATTGGGGTCTGTTGCGGGGGAAATAGGGGAGGAAAAGTGGGGGGGGTGGGGAGGTTCCAGAGGGATGACATGGGGAGAAATGCCAGATATAGTTGATGGGGGATGGAAGCAAACAAACCACAGTGCCATGTATGTACCTATGCAACAGTCGTGAATGATCTGCACATGTACCCCAGAACCTAAAGTACCATAAAAAAATTTAAAAAAAAAACAATAAAATGGAGGGAACCAACATTTTAAAAAATCTATAACAACACCATTAGAGCTTGGGCATAGTTAGCTAATTTGTAAGGAGAGTCAAATGTAACAAAACAAATCAAAATCAAAGAATGGGACCTGTATAAAATGTAGAATGGGACTAAGAATGTATCAAAATGGGTATTTTAAAAAAAGTGTTTGATGGGCACTTGAGTAGTCACATGGAATTTTACCCTCTGTGCATGTGTTACCATCAGACCACTTATCTAGAGCTAGCATGTCACCATTGAGTAAAGAGGTAACATGTTTGATAAAAGCTTAAAACAATAAAGTTGAACAAAATATTAATAATAAATCATTTTATCAAGAAGCAAAATGATAAATTTTTCTACAACCTGAATTAAAAACTGATGATACACTGGGCTAAGCATAGTAAAAGTTCATTGGTTTAATGTAACACATGTGGTAATTATATTTATATTCAAACTTAAGACAAAATGCACATTGTATAAGCTTCATTATGTTTAAGGCCAAGTCACACCACTTTCCTCTCTGCATGTGGGCTCACCTTCTATAGAAGCAGTACTGGGAACACAGTCAAATTAACTAAAACAACAATATTTGACTAAAAGGGAGCCTGAATATATGTTCAAGATGTATTTTATTGATTAAAAGGGAAATAAGTGAATAAGGAGGATGTAAAGATACATGATGTAGACTTGGAGCCGCAACTGATTCATTACATACTCTTGAAAGACGTGTTTGACAAAGGTGAGGATTAGTTATCCATAAATGAAAGAAAAATATTGCCACCTATTACAAGCAAATTAGAATATGATTTTGAAAGAGTGTAGAGTGTTAAGTGGGTGGTCCTTATATTTTTTTATGAATATGCATCATATTCTCTGGATATTAAGGTCTAAGCTCTGATTTTTTTTTAATCTTGCTTAAGTTTCTGTTTAAGTGTTCTGAAAAGTCATGCCCTCCAAACTATAAATTCTCATCAGATGGGTTTTATTTAACCATATATATCATGGCTCACTTTCCAATCTGACTCTGGTACAACATTACAAAACAAGGAAGAAAATAAAAATATATTACCCCAAAACATGTTTCTGTGCTATATCCTAAAGTAGCCCTGCAAAGCTGTTCTTTGTGAGGGAAAAACTGCATCTTAACATAGCTAGATCATTTTCTTCCAGGTCCTCCCAATCCTGAAGAGATTAACTAAAAGTCGAGAACCTTTTAAAGATCTGAATAGGAAACCTTTGACATCTTTTGTCTCTAAAGGCAGCTATTATAAAACTTCAAAAAACATTGGTCTCCACAATCTTTTAACTTAATCTGAACATTTCCTTCATTTCCTTTCTATTTATTCAAGACTTTAGACAAACTCAACCAATGGTCAACCAGAAAACATTTAAATTTACCTTTAGCATGAAAGCCCCCTTCCCGGTCCCTGCTTTGAGTAGTCCCACCTTTCTGAACCAAACCAATATATTTCTTAAATGCATTTGATTGATGTCTCATGCCTTCCTAAAATAAGTAAAACCAAGTTGTACCTTGGATACATGTTCTCAGGATCTCCTGAGGGCTGTATCATGGGCCATGGTCACTCATATTTGGCTTACAATAAATCTCTTCAAATATTTCACCCTTTTCATCAATAATATTAAGGCTTCCATAGCATCTCTTTAGGCTTTGCCAATGATTACCTGTGGGAATGGCCAGCATCATAAGAGCTGCCTCCACTCAGTCAGCTCAGGTACCACCACACGGCACATCAGAGATCTGTGACTACCTCATTTAACAATGGAGAAGTACATGAATGTTGGCAGTAAAAGTGGATGTTTTAAATGCAAAGCGGTAAGATCTAGCATTAGCTTCATAGAAAGGGGAAGTGAAAATTGGGTTTACAAACAGAAATATTAGAAAGCATAGGAGAGAGGAACTTAAAATTTTTCAATACTCTTCTTTACACCAGGTTGTTCTCGATTCCATTACTGTTGTTCCCCTGTGTTATAAATGCTTTAATTACATTTACAGAAACAGGAAAATAACTACAATGAAGATCTGCATTTTCTGAAGATAAATTATTAACGTATACATTTGACTAAATTTATCTTGTCTATCATCTCGCGTTTCAGAACATTTAAATGTGCGTGTCTGGCAACAGCTTTTTGCAAGATGTCTACTCCTCCCACATAAGAAAATACAGAGATAAGATAAAACAAAACACCCATTCTGTGCCACCAATCTAGTTTCAATCTAGCAGTGCAGTGAGATTTCAAGGGCAGGATGCTTTCATGAATTCATTCTCCTCTTTGCCAAGATCCCCGCCTTCATGGCACACTTTGCTTTTAAGCAAGTGTATCATTTCTTGCATCACTTTCACCTCAGTCATTTTCATAAATCCAAGTCTCCAGACTGCACACCACCAGAAGGAACTGCATCACTCTTCTGCGCTATTCCTCATGCCCCTTCTCCTCTTCGCTCCTTTCCTAATGTCTGTGAAACTTAATCTGTCATCACCAAGGTTATCTGTAGTCATACGCCTTCTTCTCTGAACACTGCTTTTATCTTCTTGCTGTAACTGAAATCTGCCTGTTTCTCAGCACTGCTTTCACCCTTTCGTCTTGGTTTCCAGGTCTTTCCTCCCAGACTTAGAAATGTTGCTTTGTTCCCAGCCATTTCCATAATTTTGTGGACTTTCTCCCTGGGTGGTTGCATCCAGGCCCAAAGCTTTACACCAATCTGCATTCTGAAGACATCACATCTATGTATCTAACTTAGACTTCTCTTGTTACTTACAGGCATGTGTATTTAACTTCTCACTTTGTATCATAAGCACCTCAAATGTAACATGACCAAAAGAGAACCACTGATTTGCCCACATCGCCGTCGAATCAGCTCCTCAAGGCTTTCTGTTTCTCTGTTAACGGCATGACCCTTCACCTAGTAACTAAGATCAAAAATGACCTTGATTCCGCTCACTCATATTCCAGATCTCCAGCCTTTAGTAAAATAGATCTCAAATGCAAATTATGATACCATTTCCACTGCTCCCATCATCTTCTACCTGAACTCCTATTATGTTGCTCAGCCGGCCCTCGTCCTCACCTTTGGGCATCTAGAGGCATCCACCACACAGCAGCCAGAGGGATTTCTTGAAGGAAAGAAAAGTATGTCACTTTCCTCTTCTAAAAATCTTCAAATGGACTTCATTCATTTAGAATAAAATCCAAATTTGGACGTCAGGGCCCTACATGGTCTGTCTCAAACAAGATCTAAACTCATCTCTCTCTGTTCCTCAGCCTCAGTTATCTGAACACAGTTGTCCTTTTCATCCCTGAAGTCTGCAAACTTGGCATTTTTGTATTTGAGGTTACTTTCGCTTGTAAAACATTCCCCCCAAATTTTGATCACTGTCTTGTCATTTATTTCTCAACACATACATCATCTTAAGAAGCCCTCTCTACCACCGGTATTTCTTACTGTGTTGCCATAGTTCATCATAGCACTTGCCAAAACCATGTATTGTCTTGCTGCCTATTTACATGTTTTTGGAGCCCTCTCCTTACTAATT